TAAGGTTGAGATTCACCGTCAAAACTACTAACATTCTAATCTGAGGTTATTTACCTGCTTCTCTCAACATTTCTCTGCCTATTCTCTGTAGACTATTTGGTCTCCAACAACACCTCAATAAACATGAATAGACTATCAGGTTGTGAATTAATCACTTCATCTAGTTTATCAACCAAACCAATAGTCTTCACTTGTTGAGATTCAGGGGACCTTATCATATCCTTCATTACAGCCTTAGATATCAGACCTCTCTTCTGTAGTTTGGCTGCGGTTTCAACTGGATTTGAAATTTCACAGCAGAGTTGGCCGTAGAATCGTTCAAAAATGTCAACTATTAGTTTCTCACTTCTGACAACCGATCACACTCTGGTGAAGAGTCATTAGCTTCAATTATCTCTCCTTTCTTTGATTTTCCTTTCTTGTAACTTTTCCCCTTCTTATCCTTGCTCCTGTGCTCCTTAGCACTTGGATTCTCCTCCTGTGAAGTGGAGGGGGAGGAGCTACCTCTGGCTGTGGGGCTCATACTACTCTCCCTGTACTTTCTCCTGCTTCTCTTCTTTTGTTTCACATTATGCTCTTCTTGGTCTATGCCAGGATCTGATTCTCCTAGTGTATGTGGTACATGGATTATTTGCTGACTAGTTCCTCTGACGCATTAGTTCTCGTCTTCAAATTTTTTGTGCAAGCCACTTCCTCTTCACTGGTGGCAGAAGAAGACCCATCATCATGTTCTGTTCCTCCTCTTCATTTGATGAGCTTTGTTCTGAGTCTCTGTCTTCTTCATCCTCACTCCTATCATCATCTGAATCCCATTCTTCTTCTTCAGAGTCTTCCTGAGTGGTGCATGAAGATGGTGTGGCTACTTGTTTCCTTTCTGATGATACTTTCATTTCTCTTGGTTCGTTTACCAGTTTGTGTGTTTCTTTTCTTGAGCCTGAATCTACTCTCAGGTACTTTCCTTTGCTTGCTTTATTTGTCGCTTCATTGACTTCCGTCTTTCCATTATCCTTTCCTATGTGTACAAGTGTAAGTCTTTTCTTTCATTGCTTTTGTTTTCTGTAGTAATGTCTTCGTCCCCATTGCCTTATCTTTCCCATCAGTATTCTGATTCACTTTGCGATGCTCCGTTTTTCTCATCTTCGGCACTTTTGTAGCACCAAATACGTCTTCAATTACTTCTTCACTAGTACAAGCAGAATAAGATTTCTCATTTTTCTCTTTCGATTTTGACTTTGTTTGCACCTGTTTTAGTGTCATGTGTTTTAGAGCAGGTTTTTCTTTTACTTCTTCATCTACATACTGCTCTTCCGATACATACTGAGCTTTTTCTTTGGCTATATTCTGTTTCATCAATTTAGCCGTAGCTTTTCCTTTTCGACGTTCCGCTTCCTTTCTAGACATTTGCTTACCAGGTTCCGTTTCTTCTGCAGTTTGTGACTTGCCAGATTTTCCTCTGTAATACGAGGAACTTACCATTTCATCTTCACTGCATATTGAAGACGATTGAATTTCACTCTTTTTTGGCACTATTTCTTTAAACTGCTTGTGTTTTTGTGTATCTCTTTCACTGCTCTTGTGTCGGTTACCAGTATCACATTGCTGGTCCCTTTTTTGCTTTTCCTTTCCTCCATATTCACTTTGAGACCCTTTGGTTTTTGTTGTTTTTCTTTTCACTTCTGTTTCACTCTCAGAAGCATCTCCAGTTGTTTGTTCCAAGGGTTTCTGGTAACTTTCTTTTTTCTTTACCTCCTCATCTGAATTTTGCTCTTGTTCTGAGGAATCTTCTGAATGTGTTTCAGATTTGTTTGCTTTTACTATTTCTTCACTACTTGATGCAGCAGAAGATTCACTTTCAAACTTTTCTAGCACCTCTTTTTGTGCTCTTTGCTCTGATAATTCTTTGCATATTTGTCTACTTCTTTCCCTACCTTTTAGTTGGACTTTACTTTCACTTTTTGCTTCATGTACGGCTTTTCCTTCTTGTTTCATATCTCTCTTAGATTCTTTTTCTGGTTCAGAACGCTTCTTTATTATTTTGACTTTATGTTGAGTCCTTTTTAGCACAGTTTCACTGGTAAGTGATTTATTATGTTGTTTTTCTGAGAGCTCAGATTCACTTACCTCATCTGAATCTCGTTCTTGTTCATTTGTTACATTATGGGTGTGACCCTCCCTTATGTACTTCCCTTTCTTTGTAGATTTCGGTTTTCTTTCAACTTTTTCTGATCCCTTTCTCGGCGGTTCTTGGTCTAACGCTGTTCCTAAGCTAGAATCGTGACTGTGCAGGTCTTTCCTTATAGTGTTAGCTAACCTACTCTCACCAACACTTCTCGACCTGAGAGCTCTGTCAATATCATTCCACGTGAGCGCCGGGATCTGCTTCAAGCGAATGCGTAATATTCTTAACAGACATCGATTCGGATCAGTGTACTGCATTTGGATTTTCTCTATTTCATCCATTTCCACCCCTATTTGTATGCCGAATAACTCGTAATTATCGGCAACTGGAACAAGAGCATCAAAAACGACTTTTAAGTCTTTTACTCCCAGTTCGTGAGAGCCCTTGTCGGCAGGCTCCGGGCCCGCCCCAGTCGCCATCACTACGGCCACGCCTTTCTTTGGGAGCCCCTTACCACCGTGAAACGCAGACTCCCCTACGCTTCTTCTCTATCTATACAATGACACTACAGATGTTTAATAAAGGTATATAGCTCACGGTTCTTGGGTACGGGAGATCGGGAACTATAGCAGCACACTGTTAACAAGGCCAGACAGGCAAGAAACGGCAAAATAATGTGGGTGGACCTGGGGGGCGCGCGGAATTCGCCGCGCCTCCGTTCGATCGTAGGCATATCTCCGTTTTCTACTACTAGAGTAGATCTTCTTGTGCAATATGACGAACAATCTGCTTGAGCACATACTCATGCAACTATATTATGTAGCAAATCGTGAACATTAGCTTTCGGAAGTTGGCCCGCTCCGTCCATAGCTTTGAAGGATGTTTGTGTGTGTGTGGCATGTTTGTGTGTGCAATATTAACAGTACTGACATTCATAGCTGTAATCACATCTCACAACTGCACATGACATGAATATAACTAGTGGAAATGTTGAACATTGTTGGCGAGCGGGAGCGATCCAACTTGGGATTTGCCCGCGATGTTCGGGCTGCATAACGTGCCGTCAGCGCACAGCTTTCCTTTCGTGAAGCAAGACAGATTACCTGTCGCCGTTACATGCGTATTGTACATTGGCAGAACGGTGAGCAGGTGAGCAGAACGTACTTACCTTAGCTTTCAGCTCGTCAGTCGTGGTCCACCAGGCAGCTGGCATGCAGCAGTATGTGACCGAGCAACCCTAGCGTATTTGCAAGTTGCACCTTGGAACCATGAAGATTGGGAAGAGGTATATACAGCCTCGGTTAGTCACCGAAGGTTGTAGCGCATGCCGTCGAATGGAGGATAGTTAGCTGGCTAGACCGATCGGCGCAAAATTATCGCGAGACAAAAATGTGTGAATAATTTGGAAATAGTTTCGGATAAAAAGAAACGCGTACAAAGCCGGCCGCGCGTATATAGAAAATTCCGCTCGAACGAACGACTAGGTTGGCTCGCTCCCGCTCGCCAATTACTAGTAGGCGAATGCATGAAATTATAGTTCATAGCATACCAGCCATAGGTATATAGATAGATAGATAGATAGAGAAATAAACTAGTAGGCGAATGCATGGCATTTTTGGCGAGCGGAAGCGAGCACACAATGACTGTATCTGCACGAGCCATCCTAGCCTATTTACAACTTGAACCTTAGAACCACAAAGATTGGAAAGAGGTATATACAGCCTCGGTCAGGTATCGAATAGCGCAGCGAATGCCAGCGAATAGACGAGAGTTCTTTCGCTGGCTAGATTTCGCATCGATATGACAGCTAGGCAGCGTGTATAATAACCGCGTTCCCTATCACGCAAGCGACGCTGATACAGACGAGCCTCTCTCTGCTCAGGAGTCTCACGGGCACTCTCTTTCCCTCTCTCTCTTCGACGACAACAAAGGGCATCTTCTCTGGAATGATCCATGATTACGAGAGAGTTACACACACTCCGTATAGGCACATGAACAAAACACACCATGTGATGCCAAGAGAAAAAAGATGCGGAGCTCTGGACAGCTGTTTCTGGCTTGTTGGCCCTCATCAGCAGAGCATACCACAACTTCTCTCTCTGGCACCACGAGTTTATAAAGGCTAAGTTGAGCATTCATCTCAAATTAGGAGAGAATCATCTGACTTCGATGAGAAATAGATTAATAGATGGTCAGTGGTGTACTACTACGTTCAGACCTTCTGCCACAATAGTTTCTATATACCCACTGTAGTTCTCTAGTATAGTGCAGTGGTTTGAGAAATCAGTTTTGTTTATTGTCTGTGAAATTTCTGTGTGTGCTGTCATTACTGTTAATGAAAGATGGTCTGCGTGCTTTGTTTGCCAGCGGTTCACCATTATTGTTATCATGCAAGAGCTCAGTAATGATAATTAGCAAGTGGCATGGCATGGTCATGTTTCATTTCTCCATTTCTCTGTAGATATTGCTCTTACACTTCATCCTTCTGTCATCTCTCACTCTCCATTTCCTTCTTATTCACATTCCATAATCTGTCTTCTCAATTACTGGTTGTCTGAGGTCTCTCTGTAGCTTATTAACCATCGGCCCGCAAGGGTTACAGTACTTGGTTCATAAGTGTGTCTTTCCGTCTGTCTGTCTGTTACCACGTTTTCTGCCACCACGTGCAAGAAATCGGCCAAAAAAGCGATAGTAACGAGTTCAGAGCTACACTAGCGTGATTTTAAAAAAAAGGCGATTTTTATAAAACTACTGCATTCTAAAGTTAGGGCATGAAAACCACGTGAACCAGGCTTACCTCGACCGGTCCGCTTGCTCTGTGTATCTTGAAGGCACAAGAGGTCACAACGAAGGGCGTGTATCGAGTCCCGCATCCTATCTATACTACTGTAGATATAAGTATTACATTTCCTCCTGGATGGGACGTTCGTCATTCAGAGAACCACTGGAGTCCATGCTACACTTCATTGACTGTATTCTTGTCCGCTAAACGAAACGTGAAAAGTGAAATCTGAACATGAAACTTGATGGTTGCTCTTAGCTTTCATAAGAATACACTAATATTGACACTTACAAATCTGTAAATCTACATTCAGCACATGTTCTGTCTTCTGCATTCATCATCATAGAAGTCTACAAAAAAATAATAATGGTTTACGCTGTAAAGGTACAGGTACAATGTTGTACCATTATAGAAAAAGATATACGTTTACCTTTCATTTTTTTAGCGACACCTTTAGTTGCTGGTTCTTCACTGAGAGCCTGTAAGAGAGTATGAAAACATTGAGGGTCGACATGAACCCGCCTCTCCATTGCTTTAAAAATTTCCTCAAGCCTCTGGCAAGCGGTAGAGGACTGTTGTGTTGCCTTCTGCTTTTCCTCTTTGGTAAGCAGCCCGTTGCTATAGAGCACTGGTACAATATTCTCTGGGTCTACGGCCCCAACAAAAATCTCATTGCTTCTCCGAAGAGCAAACCCTGCACAAGGGTTTATCCACTCAGTTGAGTTTTCTGCCTCGGAGTTAGCAGGTGACTGCTGCGTCAGTGACTGTGACTGTCTTTTATGCGGAGACATGCAGGATAATGTAAAGGATTCTTTTGAACACCCGCCTAATTTTATTTCAATATCTTCATCTTTAGGAGGCCCTCTACCAGTCCACTTCATTTTTAGCTGGATGCTTGGAGGTATCATTCCTCTCTCATAATTTCGAATACATTCAGCTTTCAATTTTTGGAGGCATACTCTTTGGTTCGATACTCCATCCACCATCTTTAGCAGGTGGTATGGTGAGAGTTATTTCACGAGTTGTATAGCAGTAACACATCATCGAAAGCTCTAACTTTTCAACAGCATCATAGAATTTCTCTGTGACTGCTTCATTCAACTCTCTTAGATTTTTAGTTGCAACAAATGTTGCAGTGCTGTCCTTGTGATAGAACAAAAAAGCTGACAAATTTATGTATAAACCGATAATCCTGCATATTATGGTTGTAAAAGTGCTGAATTGTTCCAACTTAATTTCACCATATGATCCCCCAATTGGAAATTTTCCACCAGGCAATTGTTTAAAGTGGTAAGGGTGAGTGTCCCCTGCTACCATATGTACCAGAGAATCTTCTCTGTTGACAACAGCACAGTGCTCTAGTCTTACACTAATAGGAGCAGGAAGTGTATCACTTGCCGTGATTTTGAACATCGAGCTGACTAGTGGCATGCCCTCATACTCTGGTGGCAGGGTATAGTCACCACTGACAACCTTAACCGATACTTTGATTGGTTTTGGACACTTGGCCGCTGGAAAATGGAGACTAATACCGGTTTGACTTGTGTAAGAACATGCCTTTCCTACATAGATCACAGATTTCTCTGTCTCAGGAATGGACAATCGGGGTGCCAGCTGTCTTCTCTTTGCGCTGAAGACAGAGTCAGACATTAGAGACCCCACCGAAGTTGAATGTTTCAGTTGGGCTGTGATAAGATATATAATGATAATCGTACATTTAAGGAATATGTATGGATTCAGTTAAGAGAGAAATGTGATCACAAAAATGTGCATAAACTACTGACTTCTGCTTTCTGCACTTGATATAGCCTCTAAAACCACAATGTCATAGTATCAGAGTGTAGGACCTAACAGCAAATTAATATCTCTTACCAATCATTTCCACATACTGATGGAGATGAGATATCTCCAGACATTCCTTGAGACGAGGGTCTAGACCAGAGAATGACAGTAGAACTTCAGTGTCTGGAGCAGTGAATGAGGGAAGAGAGAATAACTTCTTCCCCTCCTCCTTCCTCTTGGAAAAGAAGCTATTGAAATTAACTTCCTCGCTCTGTTTACAACTAAAATACTGTCTGTCCCAGAAGAGTTGGGTCTGTGGCTGAGTCAGGTCTGAAGATGAGAATGATCTCCTGAGATTAGAAGACATGCCACTACGGACAGCCCCCACATTGAACTGTTGAAGAGGTCCAACCTCTCCACCAGTAGATAGAGGGAGGAATAATCCAGACTGGATTTCCATCTTTTCCAAAGTAGTGTTGTCCTTGAGGATGTCGTTTAGTTCCAGAAGGAAGTCAGTGCAGGTTGTCTTACTAGGCAGAGGAATTCTCTCCATGGATGAGAAAGAAGAGAGCTTACCGAGGTTCCTTTTCCTCCTGAATGGTGGCAATTGAAGATCTTCATGAATCACGAGATATCTTAACGTCGTATTATTTCTAAGTGCACTACATATGTAGAGGACTCCATCATAGCCCAGTCTGGTTCTCTTCAGCTCCAATGTGGTAAGACTGGGACAGTGTAGTAAGATGCTACGGACACCAGCCATAGTTTCACGAGATATGTGAGGCAACACCATTTTAGTAATTTGATTTGATTTCTGAGTAAATTTCAGTACAGAGTCAACCAGTACATCTGCTGGACTGCGAAGATCATATATTGTATTGGTAGGAAGGATGACATCAAGTACAACTTCTCTCAGCTCATTATCCCTCTCTACAAAAATATCAGGTGGTGGAGGACTGCATTTGCTACTGATGGTAATGTGCAACTGTTTGAGTTTATTGAGAGACTGTATTGCAGCAAGCCACTCCAACGATTTCACACCAGTATCCAATCCACATTGAAACATCATGAGTGATTGAAGTTTGGGAAGTGTGTGTAAAAATTGATTAGCAAAAGAGCTGTTTCCAATGGTGGGGTGTAAATTACATCTATCAGTATTCAATAGATTGGCTTTTATTAACCAAAGTAATCCTCTGTCTACCAGAGGACCATTTGATGATTCTAAGATTTCAAGATACCTCACTCTAGGTGTGGTAGACTTGCTGTGGTCATTAAGACCTCGGACAAATGTTTCCACAGTGAAATATCATTATCTCTTTTGAAGCAAAATGAGAGAGAGAAACCATGTTGATCTGAGGAATTGCAAGGACAGAAGATTGGCATAGCAGTCATATGTGTTTTAAGGATCTTCACCACCAAACGCAACTGAGCCAATAGAAAATCTTCTCTAGAGGGTTGGGGGGGGGGGTGGGCGGTGCTGTGGGGCTCGGGGGGGGGGGGGGGGCGTGGCGCATTATCCGAAACTTGAACTCTACCGTTATCCAGGGGGGGGGGGGGGTGGGGGGGGGGGGGGGGCGGGGGGGCGCGGGCCTCCGTTGGCGGGCGGCGCGGGGGGCGGGGGATGCGGAGAGGCGAGTGGGGGTGGGGGGTTGGGTGGGCGTGGGGCGGGGGGGGTGTTAGGGTGGGGGGCGACGGGGGGGGGGGGGGGGTTTGGGGGGGCGGGGCGGGGGTGAGGGGGGGGGGCGGGGCGGGCTGGGGGGAGGGGGGGTGGGGGTGGGGGGGGGGTAGCATCTTATCTCCTCACACAGGCATTGCCTTGACTTCTCCCTATCTCTCCTTGGGGGGGGGGGGAAGTGGGGGGGGGGGGGGGCGCGGAGGTGGGGGGGGGGGGTGGGGGGGTGGGGGGTGGGGGGGGGGGGGGGGGGGGTATAGTAAAAAGCAAAAAACCAAAAAAAGGAACAAAAAAAAAAACACATAAAAAAAAACATCAAACGCGCGATTTCCTTCTCGGGGGGGGGGTGGGGAGGGGGCGGGGGGGGGTGGGTTGGAGCTGGACTCGGGGGGCGTGGAGGGGGGGGGGGGGGTTGGCGGGGGGGGTGCGGTTGCTATGGTGAGGGGGCGGTAGGGGGGGGGGGTGTGGGGGAGGGGGTGGAAAACAACCAAAAAACCCAACTAAAACAAAAAAAAAAAAAAAACACAAAAAAAAAACAAAAACAAAACAAAACATAACAAAAAAACAAAAAAAAAAAACAAACCAATGTCTTTTTTGTTGGTTTTTTTTTGTTTTCCCCCCCCCCCCCCCCCCCAGCCCCCCACCCCCACCCCCCCCACCACACCCACACCCGGTGGGTGGGGGGGGGGGGGGGGATAGGCAAAAATATATAGTGGTAAGATGGCTGTGTTTTGAGCCTCATAGGAGAGAGCGTAGCAATACACTGAAATCAGCAATATGTGCAGTGTCATGACTGAGATACATTTCCCAGTGGTTTTTGTCATCCTCTGACTGGCATCTCCAGCCAGTGATACCAGCCAGGAATATGGCTGGCTCCACTAGTGACGACCCTTCTAGTCTCAGTGATGAAAAGAGAGCTTCTTCCTCTTGGTTATCACCTCCGTAATATTTCATTTCATCGAAATATGAAAAATACTGGTTAGCCTCTACAGCCAGCCTATGATAAGCCACATGGAACTGAATGCTGTAGTTCTTAGCCAAGTGCCAAGCTGCCAGGTATTCCTGTAGGCTGAGGTGGAGAAATGAGAATGTTCGCTCCACTCCTTTGCCAGCGTACATTTCAGTGGATTCATTCATGAACCCAAAATGATATAATCCCTCAGGGATATCCTCTTTGAAGAACGTTACCTTTCTTGACCTAACTTTGTGATAGCTGTCAAAAGCAAATTTAGCCAAAACCTTAAACTTGTCTATATCTTCTTTGTTAAGACATTCAGGAAGCATGGATGTAGTATACTCATAGTTGCTTTCCTTCATCTTCATGTGTCTAACGAGAAGAGAATGAGTGAGTGCCTTGTACAGCTGTGTTCTTGTTCTTGGTTTAGCGAGGTGGTGGCTACTCTGAGACTCGTAATAGACTTGTGCTATAATGGCACAGTTGAGTGGAATGTACATCATTGACTTTATGTGAGGGACAAGAAACATGTACTTCAAGAAATTCACTTGAAGCTCTGGTTCCTTGCTAAAGACCTCGGTGATATACCTCACTCTCTCTTCCTCTGTGAACCCAATAATTTCTACATGCTTATCAATTCGAGGCTGGCAGATAGTTTTGAGTGCTAACTTGGCCACTGGTCTAGTAGTGAGAATGATGGTACATTTTGGCAATAGTTGCCTGCACAGAATGCTTTTTATGACAGAGTTCTCATGGAAACTGTGAGAGACTTCGTCAAAACCATCTAGAACTAGCAACAACCCAAGCCCAAGGGAATTATAATGCATTTCTTCAGCTATGTACTTACTGAACTCGGGCTGAAATGGATATCTGAATAGTTGTGAAAGTGATGTGGCTTTTAAGACCCACTTTTCCCTCAACTTGAGCAGCACCACAGTGTGGTAGTCTCTGAGGCTTTCTATCTCATCCCATCTCCTACATGCCTCCCAGGCAAAGGTACTCTTACCAATTCCTGGAGGACCTTCTACCAGAACAAACCTGACTGGCCTACCACTGTGTTCTGGAGTCAGCAGGTCTTCAATGTTGATAGGTGTCTTGCTCTGAAGAATCTGGTCTACTCCTCCATGCAGTGTTCTTCTGGTAAACTCATCTCTTTGCTCAGGATTGTAGCGTCCCCTTCTAATCATGGCAAGATTAATGTAGGGAGCCTCTAGGGTGGGAAGGTACTTGTCTGCTGGAGCTAGGACTCTAGCATTGTAACAAGACTGCAGGTACTGCTTGTACTCAGTCAACACCGGACTTAAACCTGACTGTGGTACTGACTGACTTACTGTCTCAGATGAAGATGTACCATCACTAGAAGTTGCTTGAGTAACTGCAGGTTTCTTTATTTTATCTCCTGGTTTCCCTGAGGTAGAGAAGTAAAGAAAACAGTATAAAGACTCAACTATTGCTGTTATATTAAGAGTGTACCTGCAACTTCTGATGATGAGGCCACAGTCTCAGACGGAGGGACTTGACTAGGGAACCTTGCGAGGGTTCTCTCTGGACATACTTTACCTGTAAGGTTGAGATTCACAGTCAAAACTATAACATTCTAATCTGAGGTTATTTACCTGCTTCTCTCAACATTTCTCTGCCTATTCTCTGTAGACGTTTGGTCTCCAACAACACCTCAATAAACATGAATATATTATCAGGGTGTGAATTAATGACTTCATCTAGTGTATCAACCAGACTAATAGTCTTTACTTGTTGAGATTCAGGGGACATTATCATGTCCTTCATTACTGCCTTAGATATCAGACCTTTCTTCTGTAGTTTGGCTGCGGTTTCAACTGGATATGATATTTCGCAGCAGAGTTGGCCGTAGAATCGTTCAAAAATGTCAACTCTTAGTTTCTCACTTCCTGACAACCGATCACACTCTGGTGAAGAGTCATCAGCTTCAATTATCTCTCCTTTCTTTGATTTTCCTTTCTTCTTGTAACTTTTCCCCTTCAATTTTTTTGTGCATGTCACTTCCTCTTCACTGGTGGCAGAAGAAGACCCGTCATCATGTTCTGTTTCCTTCTCTTCATTTGATGAGCTTTGTTCTGAGTCTCTGTCTTCTTCATCCTCACTCCTATCATCATCTGAATCCCATTCTTCATCTTCAGAGTCTTCCTGAGTGGTGCATGAAGATGGTGTGGCTACTTGTTTCCTTTCTGATGATACTTTCATTTCTCTTGGTTCGTTTACCAGTTTGTGTGTTTCTTTTCTTGAGCCTGAATCTACTCTCAGGTGCTTTCCTTTGCTGGCTTTATTTGTCGCTTCATTGACTTCCGTCTTTCTACTATCCTTTCCTACATGTGTACAAGTATAAGTCTTTTCCTTCATTGCTTTTGTTTTCTGTAGTAATGTCTTCATCCCCATTGCCTTATCTTTTCCATCAGTATTCTGATTCACTTTGCGATGCTCCGTTTTTCTCATCTTCGGCACTTTTGTAGCACCAAATACGTCTTCAATTACTTCTTCACTAGTACAAGCAGAATAAGAGATTTCTCATTTTTCTCTTTCGATTTTGACTTTGTTTGCGTCTGTTTAGTGTCATGTGTTTTAGAGCAGGTTTTTCTTTTACTTCTTCATCTGCATACTGCTCTTCTGATACATACTGAGCTTTTTCTTTGGCTATATTCTGTTTCATCAATTTAGCCGTACCTTTTCCTTTTCGACGTTCTGCTTCCTTTCTAGGCATTTGCTTACCAGGTTCCGTTTCTTCTGCAGTTTGTGACTTGCCAGATTTTCCTCTGTAATACGAGGAACTTACCATTTCATCTTCACTGCATATTGAAGACGATTGAATTTCACTCTTTTTTGGCACTATTTCTTGAATGCTTGTGTTTTGGGTATCTCTTTCACTGCTCTTGTGTCGGTTACCAGTATCACAGTGCTGGTCCATTTTTTGCTTTTCCTTCTCCATATTCACTTTGAGACCCTTTGTTTTGTTGTTTTGCTTTTCACTCAGTTTCACTATCATAGCATTTTCATCTCCTGTGATTGCTCTGAGTTTTTCTGGTATCTTTTCCCCTTACCTCCTCATCTGAATTTTGCTCTTGTTCTGAGGAATCTTCTGAATGTGTTTCAGAATTGTCTACTTCCTCTTCACTACTTGATGCAGCAGAAGATTCACTTTCAAACTTTTCTGGCACCTCTTTTTGTGCTCTTTGCTCTGATAATTCTTTGCAGTATTGACTACTTCTTTCCTTACCTTTAGTTGGACTTTACTTTCACTTTTTGCTTCATGTGGGGTTTTCCTTCTTGTTTCATACCTCTTGTATTCCTTTTCTGGTTCAGAACACTTCTTTATTATTTTCACTTTATGTTGAGTCCTTTTCGGTTTTTCTGACAGTGTTTCAGATTCACTTACCTCCTCATCTGAATCTCGCTCTTGTTCATTCCTTACTTTCTGGGTGCGACCCTCCCTTACGTGCTTTACTTTCTTTGTAGATTTCAGTTTTCTTTCAACTTTTTCTGATCCCTTTCTCGGCTGTTCTTGGTCTAACGCTGTTCCTAAGCTAGAATCGTGACTGGGCAGGTCTTTCCTTATAGCGTTAGCTAACCTACTCTCACCAACACTTCTCGACCTGAGAGCTCTGTCAATATCATTCCACGTGAGCGCCGGGATCTGCTTCAAGCGAATGCGTAATATTCTTAGCAGACATCGATTCGGATCAGTGTACTGCATTTGGATTTTCTCTATTTCATCCATTTCCACCCCTACTTGTATGCCGAAAAACTCGTATTTGTCGGCAACTGGAACAAGAGCATCAAAAACGACGTTCAAGTCTTTTACTCCCAGTTCGTGAGAGCCCTGGTCGGCCTGCTTCGGGCCCGCCCCAGTCGCCATCACTACGGCCACGCCCCTTTCTTTGCGCTCCCCTTACCGCAAACGCTGACTCCCCTACGCTTCTTCTCTATCTATACAATGACACTACAGAGGTTTAATAAAGGTAGCTCACGGTTCTTGGGTACGGGAGATCAACTAGAGCTGTACAACAAGGCCACCCACACGTTTCTTGAGCCGATGCAGAGAAATGGGCGTATCTCGCGCGCGTGAACGGAGGCGAAAAACGTGGGGTGGGGCTCATGAATGTGGAACATCGACATTCATAGCCACTAGCCAACACACACACACACACACACACTCTAATTAACAGCATGGGAAGTTTTGACTTTAGTAGACATAACATCCACAACGAGGTATAAAACAGCCAAGCTTGCCTGTAGTAGCTCAGTTAGGAGCAAGAGTGAAGAAAGAAAGAAGTGAAGAATAGAGAAGACCAAAGAATGAAGCAAGTTATTACTAAGGATACGTAGCTGCTATACTAAGATTGCCTTCATATAATGTAGGTTAGTTTGTAAGTACAGTAATTGTAGCCATGTAGTAGGCAAATCTGGACTCCAACCAGGTGGAGTGGCCTCGCCCTTTCTGGAGTGTCTCACGTGTCGGGAGTTTAAAGAGGCCGAAACGCGTGTGACATGGTGAAAGATTGGGAACTCCCCTGATGACCAGTAACAAAGAGCCTAGCACTGCACCTGCATGTTGCTGGACTTGTGGATAGGTTTACATGTACGTTTAAGCACCTGGCTGGCTGCATGCGGTGACGCCGACAAAAGCCGCCCGCCCCTCTCGTTAGCTTTAGTCCTGCCTACACTTTACCTCTCTCTCTTCTTTCCCCAATCACAAACACACACACAAAAGCTCTCTCAGGGAAGAAGAATTTCCTTAGGATTACACACATGGTTAAACAATGCTGACACAATGTGTGCTTCCAGCATGTGCATAAATATTTGCATGGTTTATTGTCACTCGTGATGTCAGGTGAAAATATAGCTAAGTATTACATTTCCTCCTGGATGGGACATTCATCATTCAGAGAACCACTGAAGTACAGAAGCATACCATGCTACACTTCATGGACTGGTTCTTGTCCCCTATGTGCAGGCCACCAAGCCACCATTGTGCTTGGATGAGGATCACTTCTCTCTTGCACTTTTTGACGGCTGTGAGCTAGATGTACTACTGGTCTGTGTGTCATCACAAAATCGCTAACTAAAAGTAAGTTTTATGGTTTACGTTGCATTAATCGCTAAAATAAAGGGGCGTGAAAATAAAGAGATTTACAGTAGGATGGAAAAGCAATGTGCATTGTAAAATATTGTGAAAAGTGAATGCGAAACGTGAAAAGTGAAATCTGAACATGAAACTTGATGGTTGCTCTTAGCTTTCATAAGAATATACTAATAATTGACACTTACTAAATCTGTAAATCTACATCAGACAATGTTTTGTCTTGCATCATCATCATAGAAGTCTACAAAAAACATGACTAATAATGGTTTTGGTAAATGTACAGGTACAATGTTGCACCCTCACAGAAAAAGATATAGGTTTACCTTTCATTTGTTTAGCGACATCTTCAGTTGCTGGTTCTTCACTGAGAGCCTGTAAGAGAGTTTTGAAACGTTGAGGTTCGACGCGAACCCGCCTCTCCATTGCTTTAAAAATTTCGTCAAGCCTCTGGCCATCGGTAGAGGTCTGTTTTGTTGCATTGTCCCTTTCCTCTGGGGTGAGCAGCCCTTGGCTGTAAAGAACACGTACAAGATTCTCTGGGTCTAAGCCTCTAGAAAATATCACATTGCTTCTCCGAAGAGCTCTTAACTCCGCAGAAGAATTAATCCACTCAGTTGAGTTTTCTGCCAGTGACTGTCTCTTACTTTCACTCCCTGTAGATAAGAAGCTTATAATTGGATATGCGATAGGGAAATTTAACTCACGGGAATTTCAACTGGCTATCAGAAGGAGGTTGTTCACTGCCAAGCACAAAGGCTGCTCCATCAGGACAAACCTTTCCTACAGATGTAAAGAAGGCATTGCATGATAGAGCAGTAACTGTAAAACATTAGAGTATTTACCTATTTCCTGCAACATTTCCTTGCCGGTTCTTTCAGCGCTGCATTCTGCAAAAACACCTCAACAATAGTGAATAATTTGGCGGGACATGACTTTATTTGTTTCTGAAGATCTCCAACTAAAGATATAGCCTTTGCCTGCTGTGATTCAGGAGACGTCAGTAGCTCATTCATTATTGAGTATGGTACGAGATTCTTTATCTGAAGATGTGTTGCTAGTTCAACTGGTTCTTTCATTAAATAGCAGAGTCTGCCAAAGAAACGCTTGAAAATATTTCTAAGACCCTTACTTTCAGTCCCAGAGATGTTGTAATCGTCATTCAGGTGAGAGCATCTGTCTCAGTGGAACTTGAGCTTTCTCCCTTTTACTAATCCTAACCCGCTTTCCTTTTCCCTTAGCTTTCTCTTCCCTTGAAGCCTGGTTGTTCTAGACTGTCCTCTAGTGAGCTACCTCTGGCTGTCGGGGCTACCACTCCTCTCTCTGTGCTTTTTTATATACTCCTCTTTCTTTGGCCATTGGTCCCCAACCCCCACAACCAGTATCTGATCATCATTAGCTTCTTTTGTTTTCTTTTTCTAGTGATACCTTTCCTCTGTGTAGACGTATTCCCTCTTACTTCTCCTGATATTCCACTTGCTTTCTCTTGACTTCCTCTCACTGGGCAGTAGGAGACCGTCATCATGTTCTGTTCCTCCTCTTCATTCTCTTATTTGATGAGCTTTGTTCTGAGTCTCTGCCTCCTCAGTCCTCTCTCCTATCATCATATGAATCCCAGTCTTCATCTTCAGAGTCTTCTTCACTAGTACAAGCAGAATAAGATTTCTCATTTTTCTCTTTCGATTTTGACTTTGTTTGCACCTGTTTTAGTGTCATGTGTTTTAGAGCAGGTTTTTCTTTTACTTCTTCATCTACATACTGCTCTTCCGATACATACTGAGCTTTTTCTTTGGCTATATTCTGTTTCATCAACTTAGCCGTAGCTTTTCCTTTTCGACGTTCTGCTTCCTTTCTAGACATTTGCTTACCAGGTTCCGTTTCTTCTGCAGTTTGTGACTTGCCAGATTTTCCTCTGTAATACGAGGAACTTACCATTTCATCTTCACCAGATATTGAAGACGATTGAATTTCACTCTTTTTTGCCACTATTTCTTTAAACTGCTTGTGTTTTTGTGTATCTCTTTCACTGCTCTTGTGTCGGTTACCAGTATCACATTGCTGGTCCCTTTTTTGCTTTTCCTTTCCTCCATATTCACTTTGAGACCCTTTGGTTTTTGTTGTTTTTCTTTTCACTTCTGTTTCACTCTCAGAAGCATCATCTCCAGTTGTTTGTTCCAAGGGTTTCTGGTATCTCTTTTTCCTTACCTCCTCATCCGAATTTTGCTCTTGTTCTGAGGAATCTTCTGAATGTGTTTCAGATTTGTTTGCTTTTACTATTTCTTCACTACTTGATGCAGAAGATTCACTTTCAGACTCTTTTGGCACTTCTTTTTGTGCTCTTTGCTCTGATAATTCTTTGCGTACTTGACTACTTCTTTCCCTTCCTTTTAGTTGGACTTTACTTTCACTTTTTGCTTCATGTTCGGCTTTTCCTTCTTGTTTCATATCTCTCTTGTATTCCCTTTCTGGTTCAGAAGGCTTCTTTTTAATTTTGACTTTTCGTTGAGTCCTTTTTAGCACAGTTTCACTGGTAAATGATTTAATTTGTGGCGATTCACTTACCTCCTCATCTGAATCCAGCTCTTGCTTATTTCTTACTTTATGGGTATGACGTTCCTCTTCTGAATACTGCTCTTCTGCTACATGAGCTCTTTCAGCCGTAGCTTTTCTTTTTTGACGATCAGCTTCCTTGCTATGCATTTCTTTTGCTGTTTGTGACTTGCCAGCTTTTCCTCTGTAACTTACCATTTCATCTTCACCGCATATTGAAGACGATTGAATTTCACTCTTTTTTGACACTTTTTGCTTCCGTTTTTGAGCATCTCTTTCACTGCTCTTGTGTCGGTTACCAGTATCACTTGCCATACATTGCTGGTCCCTTTTTTGCTTTCCATATTCACTTTGAGACCCTTTGGTTTTTGTTGTTTCTCTTTTCACTTCAGTTTCACTCTCAGAAGCATATTCATCTCCTGTGGTTTGCTCTGAGTTTTTCTGGTATTCTTTTTCCCTTACCTCCTCATCTGAATTTTGCTCTTGTTCTGAGGAATCTTCTGAATGTGTTTCAGAATTGTCTACTTCCTCTTCACTACTTGCAGCAGATTCACTTTCAGACTTTTCTGGCACCTCTTTTTGTGCTCTTTGCTCTGATAATTCTTTGCATATTTGACTACTTCTTTCCCTACCTTTTAGTTGGACTTTACTTTCACTTTTTGCTTCATGTGCGGGTTTTCCTTCTTGTTTCATATCTTTTTCTGGTTCAGAATGCTTCTTTATTATTTTCACTTTATGTTGAGTCCTTTTCGGTTTTTCTGACAGTGTCTCAGATTCACTTACCTCCTCATCTGAATCTCGCTCTTGTTCATTCCTTACTTTCTGGGTGCGACCCTCCCTTACGTGCTTTTCTTTCTTTGTAGATTTCGGTTTTCTTTCAACTTTTTCTGATCCCTTTCTTGGAGGTTCTTGGTCTAACGCTGTTCCTAAGCTAGAATCGTGACTGGGCAGGTCTTTCCTTATAGCGTTAGCTAACCTACTCTCACCAACACTTCTCGACCTGAGAGCTCTGTCAATATCATTCCACGTGAGCGCCGGGATCTGCTTCAAGCGAATGCGTAATATTCTTAGCAGACATCGATTCGGATCAGTGTACTGCATTTGGATTTTCTCTATTTCATCCATTTCCACCCCTATTTGTATGCCGAAAAACTCGTATTTCTCGGCAACTGGAACAAGAGCATCAAAAACGACGTTCAAAGTCATTTTTACTCCCAGTTCGTGAGAGCCCTGGTCGGCCTGCTTCGGGCCCGCCCCAGTCGCCATCACTCACGGCCACGCCCTTTTCTTTGTGCGTCGCCCTTAGCAGCATCACCGCGGGATCTGACTCCCCCTACGTCTACTCCGGCGTACTTCTAATGACAGAGGTATATTATATAAAGGTAGCTCACGGTTCTTGGGTACGGGAGATCAGGAACTATAGCAGCACACTGTCAACCAGACAATAATAAAACGGCAAAATAGTGTGGGTGGGGCGCGCGGAATTCGCCGCGCCATCCGTTCGATCGTAGGCATTTCTCCGTTTTCTACTACTAGAGTAGATCTCTTGTGCAATATGACGAACAATCTGCTTGAGCACATACTCATGCAACTATATTATGTAGCAAATCGTGAACATTAGCTTTCGGAAGTTGGCCCGCTCCGTCCATAGCTTTGAGGATGTTGTGTGTGTGTGTGTGCATGTTTGTGTGTGCAATATTAACAGTACTGACATTCTAGCTGTAATCACACTCACACTGCACATGACATGAATATAACTAGTGGAAATGTTGAACATTGTTGGCGAGCGGGAGCGATCCACTTGGGATTTGCCCGCGATGTTCGGGCTGCATAACATGCCGTCAGCGCACAGCTTTCCTTTCGTGAAGCAAGACAGATTACCTGTCGCCGTTACATGCGTATTGTACATTGGCAGAACGGTGAGCAGGTGAGGCAGAACGGTACTTACCTTAGCTTTCAGTTCGTCAGTCGTGGTCCACCAGGCAGCTGGCATGAAGCAGTAGAGTAAGCCACCGATAATCGGACGCCATGTATTCTCGGACGCATTTGTGAAGTCTGTGCAGGACTAGATTGGCTATGTGTATACCAAGTGTAGTTCTTGGTCATAAACTGTTGTATAAAAATATTCGCTCTTATCCGAGCTTTACCGTGGGAATGACGTTGCCGTAAAGTTACGATTCGGGCACAGCAAAGTTCGGACAAGGCCATCAAAGGTAGGACAGTCTCCAAAAACGGGAACAGTATGAATGATCCAAGCGAGTGTATGCTCGATTGATAGCTGTACCTTTGGCTATGCAGCGACCCACAAATGGCCCTTTTTGTCTTCGCTATTTTTGCTCACGAAAGCGCAAATAGGCGGGGTCGCGTAAGCCGCGTTTTACGCGAAAAGCAGTTTTCGGCTTGTTTCTTCTAACACACGCGCCGGATGAAGCTATAAAATTTTATCCTCGTTCTTCTTGCCTTATATTAGATGCCTGAACCACGATTTCCGTTGTTGTAAGATTTTAATTTTTTGTAATTACCAATAATTATTTTTTTGTAATTAGCTACCAATAAAAAGTTAGATCTCACAAAAACGGAAATCGTGCTGCATTTTTGGCGAGCGGAAGCGAGCACACAATGACTGTATCTGCATGAGCCATCCGAGCCTATTTACAACTTTAGAACCACAAAGATTGGAAAGAGGTATATATATACAGCCTCTGTCAGGTATCGAATAGCGCAGCGAATGCCAGCGAATAGACGACAGTTCTTTCGCTGGCTAGATTTCGCATCGATATGACAGCTAGGCACCGTGTATAATAACCGCGTTCCCTATCACGCAAGCGACGCTGATACAGACGAGCCTCTCTCTGCTCAGGAGTCTCACGGGCACTCTCTTTCCCTCTCTCTCTTCGACGACGACAAAGGGCATCTTCTCTGGAATGATCCATGATTGCGAGAGAGTTACACACACTCCGTATAGACACATGAACAAAACACACCATGTGATGCCAAGAGAAAAAAGATGCGGCGCTCTGGACAGCTGTTTCGGGCCTCATCAGCAGAGCATACCACAACTTTCTCTCTCTGGCACCACGAGTTTATAAAGGCTAAGTTGAGCGCAGCGCTTGTGGTTTTGAACTAATGAGATTCATCCCCACAAGGCTTTGCTCAGGCGCAGCGCTTGTGGTTCTGAACTAATGATTCATCTCCACAAGGCTTTGCCAGTACGGAGCCAAAACACGAACTCAAATTACTGACAACGGATTGGGCCGCGGCAATGAAGCCTGCAAGCATTGGGCCGCGGCAATGAAGCCACCCATATCCTGCCAGGGCATACACATGAACAAGATACACCATGTATACACACTCGTATTCGCGCATGTAAGCCTATACGCACGACATTATAACGACAGGCAGGCATGTGAAAGTCCTTTCGGATAAAAAGAAGCGCGTAATCCTGGGGCATGCGCAGTTGGACGACGTACGGTGACATATATATATATTATATAGAAAAATCGCGCCGTTCGGACCACTAGGTTAGCTCGCTTCCGCTCGCCAATAAAAACCACCACCACCATATTTACAAACCCCAAAATATCCACACAAAACACATACACAAATACACATGATAGTAGGACACTGGGTGCCCAGCCTTTAGAACCGGAACGGTGGGTTAAAGAGTATTTTATGGCTAGCCAACTCTCCCCACACACCCAGCATCCAAACTCCACATCACAAACAATTACAGCCACACAATGACTGTATCTGCACCGGCCATCTTAGCAGCGTGTAGAAGCGCGTCATCCTTCCGCATGCGCAGGTAGCACATGTGAAAAAAATTGGAAATGATTTCGGATAAAAAAGAAGCGCGTAACGAAGCCGCGCATGCGCACCTACACGACGTACGGTCGGTATAGTACATAGACTAGTAGGCGAATGCATGGCATTTCTGGCTAGCGGGAGCGAGCACACAATGACTCTATCTGCACGGGCCATCCTACAACTTGAACCTTAGAATCACGAAGATTGGAAGGAGGTATAGACAGCCTCGGTCAGGTATCGAAGAGCGCAGCGAATGCCAGCAAATAGACGAGAATTCTTTGGCTGGCTATATTTAGCATCGATATGACAGCTAGGCAGCGTGTAAAAATTTGCGCGTTCCCCATCACGAAAGCGACGCTGATACAAAAGAGCCTCTCTGCTCAGGAGTCTCACGGGCACAATGTTCCTCTTTCCCACTCTCTTCGACGACGAAGGGCATCTTCCCCGGACTATAAGCACATGTATACGCACGACATCACACACGCAGGCAGCATGTGAAATTTTGAAATCCTTTTTTTTTTTTTTTTTTTTTTTGATTAGAATTTTTTTTTTTTTTACCGTAATACTCTTCGTCTTTACAAAGAAAAGAAAAAGAAGAAAAAAAACAACGTATATACATGTAGCTAAACTACAATATCAACAACAAGAAACAAAAAAAAACACCAAAAAAAAACACAAAAGAACAACAAAACAACGCAAAACAACAGAGTCAAATAACACCATCCAGAGAGGGGGCAAATTGTGGACTGCGGTGAATCCAGGCAGAAGCATTTCCCCTCCAGAGAGATATTGCGAGTCTTTGGTAAAGATGACGAGTAGATTCGACCGGAGAGATCCCCAAACGCTGACCCAAAAGACGGCCCAGGCTGGAGATGGTGTCAGCAGACATATCACTCACGCCACCTAGGGACTCTATGGCGAGAGGGATGAAACTGATGCCAACGGCCTTTCGGATAAAAAGGAAGCGCGTAATCCTGGAGCATGCGCAGTTGGACGACGTACGGTCGTATCCGCGCCGTTCGTACCACTAGGAGGTTAGCTCGCTTTCTGGGGCGGCCATTTCTTTTTTGGTCAGGCTTACTTTATTCTTCGATTTCTTTCTTTTTTTTTCGGGGGTTTTTTCTTCTTCTTTTCTTACTCCGATGAGATCAGAAAACTCGGCTCTTAAACTTGTACAACTGCATCGGTGGTTCCGGTCTATCGGGACCCCGACTGCACACCTTTATTCTACGCGATGCAAAGCGATTTTTTTTATTAATTAAGGGAATTAATAACCGTGACGCAATCCTACCTCCATCATAATACAATGTGTCGAAGTACAGTACATATCACCCCGTTCACATACATCCCCGCCCAGCCGAAACCTCGTTCGGGTTCACTCCGGGGATTACCATCAGAAATCAACCAATGAATCGGTCATTTTGCAAGCTATCCAAATCCCTTGAGACAAAGATGTACACAACCTCCGGATCAAAATATGCGCACACAATAAACAAAAAATGTGGACCTTAAGGAGAAACTGAGTCCCAAATGAGCACAACACTTATTTCTCAGAAACCATACAACTTCACACATCAGAAAAAGCATTTAGTCTCTCCAAAGAAAATAGGTAATGAAAAAGGGGGGCACACATCTGAAAGACTCAAACAACCGAACTACGTGATGAGATCAGAAAATTTAAACCCCACCTCTGTAGTGCGCGTCCTTGTATAGATTAGAGAAGAAGCGTAGGCGCAGGTTCAGCGTCTGGGGAAAGGGGAGCGCGCAAAGAAACGGCGGCGTAGTTATGGCAGGCCCGGACAGCGCCGACAGGCTCTCGCGAACTGAGGGAGAAACGAAGAAGATGAAGAGAGAGAAGAGATTTGAGAGTCGTTTTTGAAGGCCCTTGTTCCAAGTTGCCGAGCATATGCGAGTTTTCGGCATACAGATAGGGGTGAAAAATGAATCAAGTACCAGCAAATCCCAAGGCAATTATACGCACGAACCGCGTCAATTTTGCTTACGCGAATTTACATACTCGTTTGAGCGCACGATCCCAAGCAGCTCACGGGGACATGATATTGACGGAGCTTCAGGTCGGACAAGTGTTGGTTGAGGGTAGGTTAGCTGACCGATATAAGGACACGGCGCATACCCACTATCTCGTTAGCGACCCCTGCGCCCCAGCAGTCACCGATTCCCCGCTTAGGAACAAGCAATCTCGACCAAGAACCATCCAAGAAAGGGATCAGAAAAGTTGAAAAGAAAAACGAAATCTACAAAGAAAGCGAAAAGCAGTAAGGGACGCGGTTGCACCCAGACCAGAGAAAGAAAGTAACGACTGAACAAGAGCGAGATGCTCAGATGAGGACGGCCGGTAAGTAAATCTGAGACACTGTCAGAAAAAACC